AGTGGACGTGTAAGGGCATAAAGAAAACATATATAAGCAAGGATGTGTGGACATAAAGAAAACATATATACACTGATGGTTTTAATATATAAACAAACAGCTAAGTGTAGTGATAAAAGTACTATGAAACTATGATTTACAGTTAATATGATTTCAGAAACAGAAAAGGCACCACATAAAAAGAATGACCCATATCCCTGTGTAAGTGCACAGTAGAATGTTAAGAACGCTCTCCATTTGAGCACTGATCCAAACTGAGAGCGAGTTCATTAGATGTCATGTGAAAAAAATCATAAGAAAAGTAATGACCACTAACCCTTCCCTTCCACCTTAGCTATTCATATCTTTTTATACAAGCATGCATATGTGTTTTTAATGAAATTGCAGTTATGAGTCTATATTGGGAATACCAAAGTTCAGCATGATTGAACTGCCTCTCAAAAACACTCTACTTGTACAGGCCAAACATGCCTCATTAAAAAACAAGAAGATTATCTAGCTCTCCACCAGTCTCTGACATGTGAATGGCCTGTCGAGATGACCGACTGCTGGGGAAACAATAGCATCTTTCACATCTCGGTTCAGTTCAGATTTTTTGCTTGACATCCACTCAGTTTTTTTGCCCAAGTCACACCAGGGTTTGAAAGAAACACTTCACTACACCACAAGCGGGATACTTTACAGGGTGAAATTAATGAGAGTGCTATTGTATGATATTGTCCTCGCAGAACAGTAAAACGGATATTGTGGCTTTTTATCGTCCCGTTGCATTGTGACCCGAGTCAGGGAAAGCCATTTATCAATACAGTAAATGCTCCCATTCAAAAATGAACAAGTCATGGTCAATAGGGGAACACTAGAAAATTGGATTGCAGATACCCAGCCTGCAGATATAAACGTTAGTGATCTCATTCGATTAAACTGCATGCCCCCTACCAGCCTCAAAGTCACTTTATACAGTGCATTTAGACCCTTTCTGTTTTTTCCTTCATTTTTAATGCTACAGCCTCAATTTAAATCTCTGTGGTAAAGCCAGAGGTGACAGTGGCAAGGAAAAACTCCATAATGACATGAGGAAGGAACCTGAAAGGAACCAGACTCAATAGTATGTTGAAAGGATGTTCAGTATGAGCATATTGTCAGTTACAGTCCTAGGATGAGCACAAGACATCAAGTCTTTACGGTTACAGCAGCAGTTCTTAGGTACAAATCTACTGCATCCAGGTGAAATTATTCACTGAAGCAAGCATGAGTCTTAAAAACTGTTTTTAGGAAGTGCAAATCTTTAGGGTATCAATGTGGAACCATTCAAAGCAGCAGAAGATGAGTCACAAGTGCAAAAGCTCCTAGCAGAAGAAGAATGAGGATGAATCAGGCAAGTCCAGAGGGAAGCCACAGTGATTCTGATCCTGGACTTCAGCCCACTTTTCTTGTGCTATATCATTAAGAGGAAGAAGCAAGTCCAAGTCCACAGCCTGACAGTTTGATACAACCACAGTATGTCACACTGTATGTTATGAATTGGGCTCCAAAAAATACAGAATGCCATTTGAGGTTAATATTAAATGCTAAATATGACACAATTAATAATCATTATGCATATAATGCATTAATATTATCATCCACAAAAAGTTATTTTTTCACATGGAGGACATCAGTGGAGACAGCCTCTTAATCAGAGACATTGCTTAATATATTTGAGGAGCAAATATTTTACAGATACAATTATAAATTAACTTAAAGTGAGCTGTAGGCAAACCAGATGACTGCTTGGTCAGCTTATCATTTAATAAGTGGGCATGTTTTCTTTACAGTAGAGCACATTGAATTTACATACATATTGGCATAATTTCATTAATTCAACACCTCAAAATAGCAAATTAAAAGTGTGATAAAATAGCTTATAGCCCATGTACACTTTATGTCTGTCTGCACATGATATAAAAAAAATAAAATGCAAAATAACAGGATGTGCTGGATCAAGTGCTATTTTATAAGCTGCTGAATAATGAAGGTGGAAGCCATATTGTAAAATTAAACCAAATTTGAGGCAAAAATTACTACTAGGTCTATTCACACAGCAATATTCTAGACTGTTACTTTTTTATTTCAATGCTGGCCATCTTCTCATTCATGTATTATCTTATTAGTCTTTTTTATCTTTTCATTTTTAAATTTGCTCTTGCTTTTATATCACATTTGACAGAAAAGGGAAAAATGTGATCTGATTTTTAGTGAGTGGCTACGCAGCCTGAATTGAAATACAAATAACGTTCTTCATGTAAATACTAATGTATTTACATCAGTATATACTGTACGTACCTCAGTATATATTGATTTTTTTTTCTTTTTTTTTTTTTTTTTGCCTTTTGCTGACTGATGGCCCTATTAATCTAACTAGTGTGATTGGTGTTGAATTTTCCTTGTTTGATTTCTTTTGGCTTCACTCAGCCTCATAGCTCATTAGTGCTTGCTTCTATTTGTTCATCAGAGAGATATCTGACATGGGAGGTCTCACAAAATATGCAACATAACTGAAAAGAGGAAAAGCCTTTAGCTATACTGACAGACAAATTAAAAATGTTTTTAAGTGAAAATAATGCAGTGCAGTCTCCATACACAGGGAAAATTAACACTTTTTAGCAAAATTTTCCATACTTAGTTTATTTTTTTTCAGATAGAATAAAATCATTCTCATGGCTGGATCAGGAAGCTGTCGTAAGGTCGGGGTGGACTTTAACAGGAAATATGGCAAGCACATCACACACGGAACTGTTACCAAACTTATTAACAAATTAAAAAAAGAGTGGAAGTGTCAAAGCCCAACCAAAAAGCGGACGTCCACGAACATCCACTAATGAAGGCACAACCGATGTGGTGCTGGCAAACATAGTCCCCTATGTATGGAGACTTTTGGGACACCCTGTATTTAGGTAAACATTACAAATTTTTTATTATATAATTTTTAGGTTCATTTTGTCATTTAGACACAAAAAAAAAGTTACAAGAAATTATTTAAAACGTAAATTTGCATCAAACAGTGTTATACTGTATATGCTTTGGTGCAGTAGTGTGCTATAGAAAGACATTGTTAAAGTGAATTATGGCATCATTCCGAAGTATTAATAATTCATACCTATCATAATTTAGTGTGTAATGCCAACTTGCCAATGCGTAGTTATGTTTATGTTCAGCCACTGGAGGATGAGGCTACTCTGCCCTTGAACACAGTTCCTGCATCAGCATCTATCCCTGGCACTCCCGGACAGCTTCTGAAAGCCCCTAAATTTGCAATAAAACATAACTTTCCTCTGCTCCCATTTGTTTTACAGTCATTGTACTGTTCAGTAAGCAGCGTTTAGTGGCATCAGTTTGGTTCCAGTGATATAATACTGCCAGTGTTCTCACGTCTCAGCTTTTACAGTGACATAAAAAAGCCAATTTCTGAATGTGCTCAATAATGCAGACTGTGTCCTTGCATTCAGGATGAAGCTTTTAAGATTTTGGAATGCACACAAGGACATGAGGAATGCCCCCTGTCTGATGAATCATACTAGTTTTAAAACCTTTTTAACAGGATTTAGTTTAATGTGATGCTCCTTGTAATGCCTGAGAATTTGCACAGCTTTCCACAAGAACATTTAAATCTTGCAAATGGAACATCAGCATTTAATTTTTAGTGTCTTAGTGCTGAAGGAATTAAGCCAAAAAACAAGCAACTTTTATGGTTCTTTCCGGGAAAGAAGACTCACAAGAAAACTATTTCTACTTCTCCCTGCCTTTTCTCAAGTATTTGTGTATGTTATTTTCCCCTTTCCTTCGAGTCATTGTAGCATCTGTTTGTGGCGAGCGTCAAAGACAGTTTTCGGTTTGCCTTTTCAGAAGAACATGGGGAGAAATAAACAAAGACAACAGAGCCAGGAGCTGCACTGCAGAAAAAAATATATATCACCTACAAAACTCAATTGCAATCCTGCTCTAACCTCACAGCATGACAAGAAAAGCAGACCTGACATGGTTTAAAAAAAAAAAAAAAAAGTTATGAAAGGCATCATCCACTGTATTTGTTACTTTACTGTTTTGAAGATAAGATTTTTTTTTTCAACCATAATCTGCACCAGCTAACTTCTTGGCTTTGTGACTGCAAATTTGTACGATATGTAATATGAAAGCTGAGTTACAGTACAAGTGATTACATTTAGTACGAGATTTGGGGGGATTTTAGCTTTTCTCACTCAATCTATCATATTAAATGATAACAAGCAAGAATTCACATAAACAATGCAATAAAAGTGCATGGATCTCTAATCCACCCTCTCTGCAAAACTTGTACAATTGCAAGAGTACAATTGTTTGACAGAAAGTTCATGAGAAAAGTTTATTAAAAACACACACCATTATGATGTAAACATCAGAAGGATACATTTTCAAGTTCAGTGTGAAAACTGAGGCAAAGCATTGGAAACATTAGCTAAGACAAAGCATTGGAAACACAGCATGGTCAAACACAGAATGCCTCAAGCACTTGAACTGATATGTTCCATGTTTATTCAGGACTTGGATATAGTATGGGTGTGTGTGTAAAACAATGGCAAACTTCATAACACGTCCAAAAATGCGATGTGAATGCAAGCTTATTTCTAAATCAGTCTACAGAGGAGTGTGTTTTTCAAATGAGTAGAACTGTAAAATGAATAAAAAGCCTTGTCCATTTTGCATATTGCCTAAATAGGTATTAAAATGCAAAATGCTAAAGTGCAGGATGCTTCTATGATTCAGTTATGATACACTGCTCCTAGAGGTTAGCAGGGGTACGGTAGAGGTTAAGTAGTAAATTTGTAAATTTAATATTAAACCCCTTCACTGCCAAGAACATTTACAGAGGTTTGCTTTACATATAACTTATGAACAATACACCTGTTTACACTCTTATTTCTGTGTTCGGATTTGACCCATTTTTTGATGTGTCTTTTGGCCTTTAATTGGCTTCCAGAATTGGGTCCCTGGAGGACTAGTGGTTAGGCCTCGGCGCTCTCAGCGCTGCGGCTCGAGTTCGATTCCCAGCCAGGGAACCAACCCCAGGCGCTGGAGTTGCGCAAGACAGTGCACTCCCAGTGCCGGGCCCAAGCCCAGATAAAATTGGGGAGGGTTGCGTCAGGAAGGGCATCTGGTGTAAAAACTGTGCCAAATCAAATATGCGGACCAGTGATGCGCTGTGGCAACCCCTAACAGGAGCAGCTGAAAGAACAGCAACAGTGCTTCAGGAAAGTATTCACTCCCCAAGTATCATTTCTCTTTTTGCTGTATTTCAACATCAAATGTAATTGCTTATGGCGATACCACTTCTGAGAATCTCGTCTGATCTCACAAATGTAAGCATATCAGAAATGGATATATTTCTGCTCCTTTTGAACTGACTCTCCAAAGAAATAAAATTAAATAAAGTATTCAGACATCATCAGAATTTCTGAAAATGAAAAAAAAAAAAAAAAATCTAAAAACTGCTTAATTGATAAGTATTCACTCCCTCAGTGTGAATTGTCCTTTTGCAGCAATTACAGATTGGAGTTGTCTGGGATGTGTCTCTACGAGCTTTGCGCATTTTGATTTTGTCATTTTCTTTCATTCCTCAATGCAAATTTTCTCCAACTCTGCCAAATTAGATGAAGAATGTTGGTGGAAGGCCATTTTCAGGTCATGCCACAGATTTTTAATTGGATTTAAGTCTGAGCACAAACCTTTTTTTCTTTTATTTTCTAAGCTATTCCTTTGTAGTTTTTGCCCTGTGCTTTGGCTCATTGCCCTAAATGCAGATGTCTGGCTGACTGGAACAGGTTCTGTTCAACGATGTGCCTGTGATGGCAACAATTTTTCCAATTCCTCCTGCTGAAAAGCAGCCCTTAGAGCAGGATGCTACCACCACCATGCTTGATCACAGAAATGGCGATGCCTGAGTTGTTGGTCTGTATTTGATTTTGTGCCAAACATTATGCTCTGTAACCACTTCAGCTAGACTTTTGGACACTTCTCTGACAGTTGCCTTTCTTGTCTGAGCACTCGGTTCGGCCTGAACTTGCTAGGGTCTGGGTTATACTATATTTTTTTCACTTTGTTATAATGGATTTCACAGTACTCCTAAGAAGATTCAGCGCTTTGTTGATGTTTTAATAACCTTATCCATCTTTTTTTCCTCCTAAGAACTTCTTCGCAAAGCTTCATGGGCAGGTCCTTGGTCTTCATGACAACAGGAATGATCTGATCTGCCATTTTAGCTGTGAGACCTCCCAAAGTCATACAACAGGACGCAGGTGGATATAAAATTAATACAGCCGTACCCTGTAGCAGCTGTAACATGTTTAGTGTGAGCTCTAATTTAAATTGCTAAAAGAAAGGGGGTGAATACTTACCAATTATGCAGTTTTTAGATTTTTTTTAAAACAACAATTCTGACGACATCTTAATTTTAGTGTTGTAGGGAGTCGATTAAAAAAACGCAGGAGAAAATCTCATTGTAATATGTTTAAATTTGTTGTTGCAATAAACCAAAATGAGAAATAATCACTCAGGTGGTGAATACTTACTGGAGGCACTGTATTTGCCACCTAATTACTCAGTCGTGTGGCAAGTTTTTTTTAAATATTAAACCTTGATGTCATTTACACAATTATTCTCAACACCCACTCTTTGTGTACAGTGCACGTCTTTACTTGTGATCTTAGTCAATCAGTGCAATTGAATTCTATCAGCCCACTGATGGATCAGACTTGAGTTGACTGATCAGACCAGCTTGATTTCATTTTCATGACCTCATTGCGATGTCTTTTTTCCTGTTTGCGTGGTGAAGTGGCACCAGCAGCTGCTACTGCTCAGAAAGAGAGAGAGAGAAAGAGAGATAGAGAGAGAGAGGAGTAAGTTGCTCACATTACGCAACTATGAGTTTGTGTCTGATCCCAGATGTTTTGTTCTTCTCCGTGTGTGTGTTTGGTGGAGTGGAGTAGGGGTGTGTGAGGGGGTTTACAGCAGGCGTTTCAAGGAGAAAACTGCTGGAGGACTCGTTGGTTCGGATTCCTTTCCGGGGGAATGTCTGTCTTCTGTAATTGTCCCAGAAAAAGAAGACTGGAGACAATGGAGCTAACAAGCTGTCTGTGGACTCTATCATTTAAGAGTGTCAGAGATAAAACCTCATTTCAAATTCACTGGCTCTCTTTTTTCTCTCTCTTTCACTCTTTCTCTCTCTATCTCTGCCTCTCTCTCTCTCTCTCTTTCACACACACACACACACACACACACACACACGACTTGTCTTTCTCATGATGTATTCCTCAATTTCCATAAAATTTTTCGTCTAGATTTCCTGCTACAACACAAACAACAAACACAAAAAAACCCGACTATCTCCCTTCAGTCTCCTTCTCTTCGTCACTCGCTCTCCAATTTATTTTTCTCTCATTTTACACATTCTTTTTTCCTGTACTCGGCAGTGTAACGTATGCGGTGTGAAGACAGAGCACACATACTTTACATGACGTCTCATGCCAATATGCTGGTTACCAGCCCAGACATCTTCTCACACACACACACACACACATACACACACACACACACACACACACACAATCAGTGACACAACCTTTCAGATCAGGTAAACAACTTCATTATCAGTAATGGTGTCATTATGTTCTAACTATCAAGGAGCATGGCACTCAAACAAATTGTTTCCCTATGCATATAATATTCATTACATTTTTCCCATGTGGTTTAAATAAATTAAAAAAAACACAGCCAGAGAGGTCATTTGTCCTCCAATTTGGACCACAGCCATTGCTACAAATGACCATTTCAGCAAATGATCACCATGCATTGCAAATAAATCCAATCAGGTAAAGAAGAGTGCAAAGTATGTCATGAGTGTTATTGCAAGAGGTCTAAATATCGCTTTGATGCCTATGCAAGAATTGCTACTCCAGCACAAAATGATTTTTTTTTTGCTGCGATTGTAAAACTCCTCTAGGGGCCACTCTCAGTTTTGAGTTAAGCACGCATAGGTGAAGTTATAAATAAAACATGATGATAAATTTTCATGGATAAAATCATGAACTACACTTAAATTTAATTGTAAAGGTAGTAGATGAGTGCTTGGTCAGCTTATCCTTCAAACCACTGAAACAATTCAAAATAGCAACTAAAAGACTGAGAAAATATCTTACATACTACACACCCATTATGATTTCATGACAGATTTAGTACCTGGTGGCTTCATTAATATGTATGCATGAGTAACAGTATGAATTGTGCTGGATCAAGTGCTATTTGAAAAGCTGTTAATTACTAGAACAATTCCACAATATTTTGACAATATACTATGCTCTTATCAGCTGTTTATCTCACCGTGTGCCATGTTCTCATTCATATATCATCATATTAGTCATTTTATTTTAAATTTGACAGCAAAGAAAACTATTCCCTTTGTCACTTGACATTATTTATCCCTGATTTCTCAGGCTTAAAGGCAAGTGATTGTGTTTAAAAGCGGTGATACGGATGCCATTGAATAACCCCATCTCAGACTCTTCTACTCAAAAAGCAACCAGAGAAACTGACTGACTTACTGACTGTAACTGTAGGTAAATAATGTTTGAGTTCAGCAAAGATTGTTTTATATTCTTTGGGCACTTACATTTCTCCCACTAGCAAACACTAAAAGCACAAAGTAAATAAAAATACATAAATAAATTATGTTATAAATATATAAATATATATAAATAAATAATCCATTATAATTATATGCAAGTTTCACTTGCTGATGTATTCAACGCTGACAGCAGCGTAGACACTTTGACAGCTGTGTGTGAAAAACAAAGTTTGTTGTACATGTTCATATGATAAATATGTGTAAAATTTGTGAATATTTCAGTTTGAGGAAGAGAGTGATTGTAGATTTGGAGCCAGTGATTTGTTTTGCTCACAATATACAGTATGAGTGTAATTTTCAGTTCAATTCAATTCAAATTTATTTCTATGGCACCTTTAACAATAAATATAGTCACAAATTAGCGTTAAATAAATTTGTACGTAGATTTCGTTCTCTAATGAGCAAACCAGAGGTGACAGTGACAAGAACAAAAAAACTCTCTGAGAATATATATGTAAGAGCAACCTTGAGAGGAACCAGACTTAAGGCTTAAAGGGTTTTTTTGTTTGTTTGTTTGTTTGGGGTTTTTTAATTTTTTTTTTTTTATTACACTAATTGTGAGCAAGTACACAGCCCATTACTCATCTTTAGTTTCAAGAGCATGGAATGACGTACAAACAAATCTGTGTTTGTGATTCATGAAACTGTTGTATGGCTGTGATTGAGCAAATGATGAATCAGCATCAGCTGCATGAAAGCAAGCCTCCGCCCACTAATCTCATTTCCATGTCATATACATAATGATACGACCCAATTTACCCTCCATATATATCTACTTTACATTAAGTACATTTTGCAAATGCTACAAAAGCGAAACGATAAAAGTAATGCATAAAGCAGGTTATAAAATCCAGAGAAGATCAGAATAGTGAAAGAGTGGTCCAAGATACCAGGAAAGAAGTAAATACAATAAATTCAGTGAATCTGAGTTAGAGGTGTTTTTGTCCGAGATTGGCTGCGTTATGGATGTGTGGTGTGTTTTTATAAAGCTGTTTAATGCCACAGTCAGGTTGAAAATTGAACAGTATTCCCAATCAAATCTGCTGGTAGTTATGTTTTTATTAATTTTCAAATTAGTCAGATTTAACTGAAGATTTAATTTAATTTAAAGATTTAATTAAAGCTTTATTTATAAATATAAGTGAGTCTGAACAAATAACTAAAATGATGAAAGAAATTACAGGTACACAAATGCACCTGTTGCTCAACTTAAGGACTAATGAGCTGATAAAGATCCACATCTGAGCATTTTGATTCCCATTAGCAAGTTACATGTTCACTCTAAAGCCCCTTACCTATATTTTAGTACAAGGTTCTCATGTAGCAGTTTATGTTTATTAATGTTATCTGCTATTTTTTATTGTTATTGCTATACTTACT